CAGCCAACCACCAAGGAAGACCATCATCAAAAACACCAGGAGTTCTTCCATTCGGAAGATTTCCAAAAAGAAAGGAAACGCAGCAATTCGTCTAGCTAGATCCAAAAAGCTTCCATTGCTACCGTTTTAGATTACTCGCAACAAACAACGCGTCAATTGTCTGTCCATACTGCTGTTCATCAAATTGTTTGTCCAAATTGTTCAACTGTCACACCCTGTCTGACTCTCTGTGACATTTCATCACAAACAAAACTGCAAATACATCAACTGATGCACACGCACATGTATGTGATTCAGTGTACGCCCCCCGCTCGCGCACACGCGTACACCGCGTTACACAACGCCAACGCCAGCGACTTGTTGTACTTACCAGTCTCGTTCCAGTTCACATCATTCAGCTGCGCATGTTCCTTGCACCTGCACGCCTGGAAACGCCTCAACGGTTTGACAAACTCCTCAGAGTCACACGCCAACCTCAGCCTCTTTCCTACAGGTTTGCCTGAGCGCGATACGTACCCAAGCTTGCACAACCTCACGACTGCTTCCTGCTTGAGACCTAGTTCATTCAACAAGTCCTTCACGCCCGCATATGACCACAACACATTGTTCACTGGCCATTCCAAGCTGAACGTATCAGCTTTCTTGCGGTACGACGGCAACCTTTTAAGAAGGGGTTCAAGTTCAGCGAACCGAACATCCTCAGAACCTGCATCCTGGCGCAAGTATCGTATTGGAGACCCAGACGCACACGGACAGCTCGCATGAAAATGCACGTGCGGACGCATCCCAAGACCCGACGCACTAGCACACAAGCGTTCCACCCATTCAAGCACGCTTCGCAAAGTCGACGCTTCTTCCCCATCAGCGGTTACCCCAATGTACGCAAACGCTGTGTTGTGTTGTGACAGTGCACTCTGTTCATCACAGCAAAACTCAACGAAAATCAATGCAATCGTTTTGTCACGAGGTTTCAGTGTTTGCAAAGGCTTGTCAGACCCTTTCAAACCCTTTGACCCTTCGGTTATTGCTGGGCTTCTCGGCTGAAATCCACAAGTTGCTCTGTGAACAAAGTGGTAACTTGAACACTTAGTTAGGATATCCGACAAGTTCGTAGGACCTTCAATCCAACCAAGCTGAATGTACCTTTCAAGTTGTTCACGCAACCAAATTCTCACTTCCGTATGCCTTGACTTACGTGGAACGTCAAGTGCTGAAAGCAACTGTTTGGCCGACTCGGAGTCAGTGAGCATCAAAATAGGAAACTTCCTACCTTCAAACCCAGCCAAGTCCCCAAAAAAGTCATTCACCATCTTTCTCACTAACGGTAAGAGACCCATGGCCTCCTGTGCCGTCTCCTGAATTGCAAACATCTCGGATTCGCAGCTTGACAGTGATGTGCACGTCTGATGACGTGAGAATCCTTTCACAAGTGAAGATAACACGAAAATGAAAGCTCCAGAGATTCCCTTTCTTTGAGTCGCCCTCATAGGTGCATGTGAAGCATCACAGAAAACCACCATCAGTGGCTCCCCCGACAAATCCACAGAACCCTGAAACAAAGACTTCAATTTCCCAGGAGATGGAAAAGATAATTCTTGGTCACCATCAAACAACAAAAACCTAAGGACCTGCCTCATGGCCTTTTCATGACGACCATCAGGAGCATGTTGACCCGTAGCCAAATATGCTATGAAAATATGGAGATCCTCTCGTCTGTGACAGCCATGCCATCTTCCCCAAACTCCTACGATATCTTTGATAGGCTTCAGTGCTCAACGGTGGTTCTGGAGGACCATCAAGTGTTTCTCTCAAGTTAGGCACAACAGCCTTCCCCAGTTTCATCTTTTCCATTCCATAATCACGATAACAAGAATCGAGATACCCTGGTGCAACTCCTACCAACAGCTCTTTTGCCCCAGCTTGCCGACGAATCACCCTTCCAACAAATTTCATGGACCCCTCTTGATTTGGAAACAGCTGACCCGTGACTTTCGTGGGAACTACCGCATTCAACTTCTCCCAGATTTTCTTACCCATGTCAGGTTTGTTTGAGAAGATTAGCAAGTCATCCACATAAATGATCATGACTGTACCTGGTGCGGTAAACACACATGGACTAGTAACATCACATGTCAATCCAAGTGGTTTCACAATCCCCTGCACATACTCCAACCAATCAAGAGAAGCGGATCTGATCCCGTTGAGACTTTTCCCCAAATCCATGAACAATGGTGAGTTATCTGGCCAGCTCATCGATGCCGGAAACCTCAAAGGTGTGTGCATATAAAGACTGCCGAACAATCCAGCGTCCATCCATACGCATTGGAATATCCACCGATGCCAAGAGCCATCTTGATGGATTCTGAACTGGGTGTTGGTGACGAAATACCAAGGCTTTTGGCCTTACCACCACCAGAAGCAATGTCCTTGACCACTATTCTGGCGCGCACGCCATCTTCTCCATCAATCACCTTCTCCGTTGTGACCCAACGGCATGATATGATACGAACACCATACTCATCCGCTTTTGCAGTGGCTTCAGACTGCCTAAGTGGCTTTCCTGCACAAACCCTGTCCAGATTCCCAATTTCAGTCAGCATCCCTGAAAAAGTAAGGTTACCATCTAGGGTATTTGACGTAGAATCATCAACCGCATAGTCTGGTTTCCAAACCTTGATTGAAGAACCACAAAACGACACTGTCTCTGACTTAGAACTGCCTTGGTATACAACAAACTGCAACGACTGGTCTTCGAAGAACATGTCAGCCCCTGTGAACCCCTCAGAAAGTTGCATGATCCCATGAACCCTGCTACAATCATCAGTTACACAAACACCAACACTGTCCAACATACCCTCATCATATTCAAGAGGTCGTTTCCTACTTGGAGGATCAGCCTGGTTAGTAAGTACTTATGATATTTAGCATAGTTAGTAAGCACTTAGTAAGTCACTTAGTAAGTTGATTAAGTATACTTATAAGTAGGCTAAGTCCACATATAAGTTGACTAAGTCCATGGTGACACTTAGGCCACTTAGCTAAGTACATAGCACTTAGCCTATGTACATAGCATTTTATGTAAGTAGATATAAATTTACGCGGCAACTTAGCCCACTTATGGCTAAGTGCCTTAAGCTACTTAGCGGACTTATAGCTAAGTCGCCTAAGTAGGTTAACCTACTTAGTTCTAAGTGGGCTAAGTCACTTACGGAGCATGGAGCCTAAGTCACTTAGCCTACTTAGAGGAAGATACTTTTTGAGCTAAAATAACATACATAACCTTGTCAGTTTGGGCCTTGCAAGCTTTGTTTGTGAGATGTGAGCCTTGATTTTCAGAGGCATGCGTCGGCCTGCGTGGCTTCGAGCTTTGATTTGTTCGATTATTTTTCCTTTTGTTTGTCATGGAGAAACATTTCAAACCAAAAATATAGTTGTCACAAATCGACCTTTTGGCATCTTTCTTTTATATCCGGCAAATGTGACATATATAAACATTTGCTGTTTTATTTAGAGGTTGCCATGCATGCTCCAGGCTGCATGAAGAGTTTTTTCGTTGTCAAGAGGGGCATGCATGACATGAAACGTTTTTCGCAATGGTTGCCGCACGTTGGCCAGCGAAATCATTTGAGTGTTTCATTCGCCGTTTTTTGGTTCAACACTCCTTTGAAGTAGGTGCATGCCATGTTTTGAAGGCTTGTTGTTTTACGATTTTGGTGCGGGTGTCCAGGCTGTTTTGCTGGCTGACGCTGTTTTGATTCCAGGCCTTATAAGAAACAGTTGGGATGAGAAGGCGTGCTGCCCATTTAATTTTTATGAATGCAGACCTTTGCTCCGTAGAGACGTTTTCAATCAAACAGCTTGTATTTGCAAATTGTTTTTTTTGCTTGCTTGAATTTCAATGACCATAGTCCATGGGAACAGCTTGGGAAATCTGATTGTTTCATGGGTCAGGTCAAGTTTGTTTTTTCATCTTTGCTCATTGCCGCCAAGGTTTTTTGCATTCATTTTCGGCACTGCCCAGGCCAGCCATGACTAGCTTGTGGTTGAGATCTTCACCAAGGTGCACTAGGCGTTTTTGTTCGCCGCCTTCCATGCCTGATCTATCTTGCAAGATCATAGTTTCAGCTTTGGCTATACTTCACTTGGTGCTGGCGTGGCTCTGCTCGCCGCACTTCTTTTGCGGGTTTGCTCGCAGGGATAAGTTTCAAACCACATTGTCTTTGAACATGTAAAATGATATGCGCATTTTTTGCCAGAAACATTCGCGAAGGCATGCTACACGGAGTAAAAACGCGATCTTTTTGACTCAACTTCGTTCAGCCGTTCTGGTAGATCCGTGGATGCCGTTTTGCTTCCATGTGGATTTCAATGTGGCCCAATATATTTTGTGGTTGCTTCCCAGCATGCATGACAGAAACCAAGCAAGACATGTTCGAGTTCTATAATGGATTTTTGCTCACCGCCCCATGCAGGCTACTGAATCATTCCGCAGCTCAGCTGGCCCCACAGGACACTATGGGGAGGGCTGGTGAGGTTCGAAGGTACAATGAAATTTGGATTGAAAAAACAAGAGAATAAAATTAATGTGGAGAAGAGTTCAGCATCATCCATCCCTTGAAAGAAATTCCAATTGTATTGATGCAAGTTACAGGCATAAGACCATGACATGTTCACAAACTGCTGCATTCCTCCTGGGCTTCAGCGCATGTCATGAAGACAGCGACATGCCGGCACCTTTAGTTGTGTGTATAGGTCGATTGTCACTTGTTTTATGGTTTATATTTATATATAGTATAAATATATATATATATATACCTACCTTGAGCATGGTATAGCAGGGTCGCCGATATAGATGCATTCACCATTTTCCCTCTGGGGAAACCCTACAATTTAATTGATTACAATATACCGCTATAAACATCAAAAGTGCATTGCCCTGGGGAGCTCATGCACTCCAACAAATGCTGTTCGTAATTCTCCGTGACCTTTTCGGCAACGCAATGGACACAATGGCAGCTTCGAAGCTGGAGCGCATGCCAGTTCGCGGCACTGCTTCGAAGGTTATAGATGACGTTGAAATTCCAGGAGGCGCGGCCCAATAAACATACACTTCACTCATTGCATGTTGGACAGGGCAATATATAAACATATTTCCTTCACTCATGTAGGCTTTGGCAATTTGTTTCCACGCTTCTGCATGCAGGCTACGTCCCAGGATGCATCCTCCAGAAGTTCATCGATGGTGACTTAGCCGGGGCGGTGAATGATTCCCTCAGCAGTGAATTGCCGAAGGGATCGAAAGATCCCGATGGGCCAAGTAGCAGTGCAGCCGATGGTGCAGGTGGCTCATGTGACGCAGGTGTCATGAAGGCGGCTGCTGCACCGAGTGCAGCCGATGATGCAGGTGGTGGTGGCATGGAGCTTCCTCCACCACCAATGCCACCACCACCACCACCACCGCAGGCAGTGCCAGAGCCGAAGAATCCGCCCAAGGTCAAGGCCATGCCGCGACCTCGCCGCTATGGGCAGGGGCATGCCCTAGCGGCGGGGTCGCGGCAGCAGCAGCAGGTGGTCGACGTGGACGCCTATGAGGCCAAGAAGGATGCTGCTGAGAAAGACGAGTCATGGGGTCCGAAATGGCCAGCACCAGAGCTCATGAAGAGCACAACCTGGAAGCCGCCGTGGCAGACCTCTGCAGATGGGCAGTGCCCAGCCCTCTGGGCAGTGGCAGCCCTCTGGGCAGTGGCAGCCCTCTGATGGGCAGTGGCAGCCCTCTGATGGGCAGTGGCAGCCCTCTGGAACGTGGCATGATGCAGATGGCAGCTGGCAGGCCACAGCATCCATGTCACAGACGTGGCAATCAGATGGATGGAGCGCGATTCTAGGCTGCATACTTTGTATAGTTAAGTTTGCCACTATATATATATATATATTTGTTTTTTAAAAGATACTGCAGTCATTCAGCAAATATATATATATATACACTTTGTTTAGGGCAGCAAACCAGTGAACAGTGAGAATGTTTAAACTTTAGAATCGATGGTCCTTGCAGGGCAGACCATGTTATGAAGTTTCCCTTCATGCATGCAACCAACGACCCATGCTTGCGATTCCCAGGAACAGAGAGGTGAGCTGGTCCATGGAGCGCACTGGGCAGGAAGACGACAACCACCCGCATCTTGTCTTTTTCAACGTCTTTTTGTTTGTACTTATTTTTCTTTGCACTGGATACACTTAGACACACAGTTCTCAGAATCTATATATTTGTCGAAGGGTGCAGGCGGGCCTTGCTCGCTGCACTGCCTTTGCGGGCTATGCTCGCAAGCAATACTATTGCAATACTATTGCAGTCGTTGGCATTCACCTTTACTACCTTCGTTGTTTGTATTTTCTTATTGGACAAAGCATAGACATATTGCATTATAACAACATGTAGGTCTTCCCGGCGTGCATTCAGTGAAAGTTCTGGTGAAGTTGGTTTACATTCTACTTCCCAAATCTCATCTTGTTGGATATGCTTTTGAAGTACGCATAGTTTAGGTGCAGTTCACAGTTGACATCATGGGGATGATATGTTTTCATGCCTTTGGCCGCTCCAAGGCAGAAGCGCATCAGAGATGCGAGCAACCGAAGGCGTGGCGGCTGGAAATACCAGCGTGTACAGCAGAATCGCCAGCTGGCGATCGAAAGACAGGAGCAGGGCGATCGCATCGACCATGCCTTGCAGATCATGGGAAGCTTAGCTAGATCGCTCGAAAGCGTCCTGTGATCTCGCAAGGCATGGTCGATGAATATAGCTGATCCCCTGGAAAAAAGATAAAAACTTAACCCACCTTAAAACTTTACTAACCATGCAATAATCATAATCAAATTTACTCTGAGGGTGCATATAAGGGCTCGGATCAGCTATATGGTATAAGGGGTCGTTTCACTATAGCCCAAGCATGGCAGTGACAGCCACAAAAAACCAAACTAGCTTATATGCTCTCTGTGGTAATTGCGTGTTATACGAATGAAACCACATGATGTTGAATAGTTTGATTAATGTGATGTGGCTTCATTGCCTGAATCTGCAGGTACACTGGCCGATGGCCGTTTCACTGTAGCAGCCTGGGAAAGGCAGTGACAGCTAGGAAAACCAAAACAGCTTATATGCTCTCTGTGGCAGTTGCGTGCTATACGAATGAAACCACATGATGTTGAATAGTTTGGTTAATGTGATGTGGCTTCATTGCCTGAATCTGCAGGCATACTGGCCGATGGCGCATGGGAACTCATTGAAATGCGAAGTATTTGTCATGAACACCAAGAAGCATGGTTTCAACAAATGGTTGCACAGAGGTACCTATACGACCATCAAAGAAAGACAACGTTTTGTTACCTTGCACTGGTCCCGGTCACTTGTGAGTTTCCATGCATGCACTGTTGAAGCCGTCAGGAGATGTTGCAATAGTTTTTTCATAAGGAGCTATGAGAAAGGTTGGTTGGAACATCAACTGAATGTTTGCAGTAAAAGGCTTCAACAGCAGAATGTCGCGTGAACTATCATGATCACATGGCGACCGGAATTTCAAAACGTACAGGGGCTACCATGGCAAGAATATGATGTTATGAGTTTGGGAATGCAAGCTGCACTCATTCGACCAAATTGTGTTTTGTTTTTAATTTTGCCGTTTGACATTGTCATATCAAGATTTCATCTCAGTTTTTTGTTGTGGAAGCCTATGCATGGCCTCAAGATTTCCTCCGCAAACATCACAGCGTGAGAAAAAAAACAGGATATCACGACGTGAGTGTTGGGTGGGAGATTCATGGGTGGATGAGGTTGCAAACTGTTTGAATCGGTGTCTGATATTGCTCTAAGTAGGAAAAAAACATAAACTGTTACTAAATGGATGCCAAAAAATAATGATCCAACATGTTGAAAAAATGGTGACTGTTGCTTGGTTTTCCATGTGGGCCAACCACGGAAATTCAGATCTGGTCAGTTTTGGAACTTAATTTGCAAAAAAGTTGCCGGAAAAAATTGGCGAGAGTTCCCCCCTCCTTAGCTATTTTCAGGTTCATCCAAAAAAAAATGGATTTTGCATTTTTGTGATTGCACAAAATGGCACATTGCCATTTTGTGATTGCACAAAATGGCACATTGCCATTTTGTGATTGCACAAAAAACCATTGATGTCAATTTTGGAACCTTGTGATTGCACAAAATGGGCCATTTTGTGATTGCACAAAATGGCACTATGCCATTTTGTGCAATCACAAAAATGCAAAATGCTGATATTCCCGAAACAATGAACAAAACTTTTGATGTTAGACATCGACTACATCTACTTTGAAGATTGCAATGATCAGGTCAAAGGTCGTGGTTCCTAGATGGATGGTAGAAACACATCAATCCAACCACCATTTTGAAGGCTGTAGTTCTGTGAATCTGGATGGCCAAGTCTAATTCCCAAACATGATTGTTTGTTCAACAGACCCGACCTGCCCCTGCTGCAGGACTATGCGCATCACCATCTTCAACTACAGGTGGGCAACAGGCGCACCATGAGAATCCAGCTACAACTTTCTCACATGGATATTCTGAGCCTTGAGGTTACAAAATTTATCACACAACCATGTATCACCTCACAACCGTGTATCACCTCATGTTCACAATGACACCCAGTGCTTTTGTATCTTTTTAACAAACAGCCGCGGGCTGTGCTCGCGTTTGTGGCATTGTCGGGCCCAGCTCGCATGCTCCATAAATAGGCTCAAACATGCTCCCATGACTGCTTTTGGATCTTTTCACCAACGACCGCGGGCTGTGCTCGCGTTTGTGGCATTGTCGGGCATCGCTCGCATGCTCCCCAGTTTAACCCAACTTAATTTCACACTGTGAGGGTGGTGTGCACTCAACCATATACGTTGCAGAATTGGCTGGATCAACTATGTGCAGTGGATCTGCAAGCGTGGAGCCCGCCAAACACTGTGGCAAACAAAAATATGAGAAAAAACAGTTCATGCAACATATTATATCATGATCACAAAGTGGAAGTTGCCAACTGCATTCAGCTTAAGTGTTTGCTACAGGTCAGTGTTTGCTACAAGGGATCGTTTCACTGGCTTTTCAAGTCAGGTATAGCCACCATCATAGAGGCAGTGACAGCTACGAAAACCAAAACAGCTTATATGCTCTCAGTGGTAAATTGGTGTCGTATTGATGAAACCTCAGCATTTTATATTGGTGCAACATCGTGTTGAATGGTTTGATCAATGTGGTGTGGCTTCATTGCCTGAATCTTCAGGTATACTTGCCGATGGCGCATGGGAACTCATCGAAGTGTATAATATTTGCCATGTATATCAACCAGCATCTTGACAACAAATGGTCGCACAGAAGGCCTTATACGACCATCAAAGAAAGATCATGGTTTGTTACCTTGCACTGCTCCAGGTCACTTTTGGGTTTCCATGCGCTGTTGAAGCCATCAAGAGATGTTGCAACATGTTTCCAACAACGCACCTGCGAGTGTAACCCGACAATGGTGCAAGCAGCGAGCTTAGCCCAAGCTGCTTCAGTGTTTGCAATCGTGGTGAGGCATGTTTGAGATGACTTTAACCGGTCGCAATTTAATACCCACAGTTGTTTCCTGTACTTTTTTTGCCACAGATTATGTCATGATCACAAAGTGGCAGTTGCCGACTGCACTCAGCTTCATGGGCGTTATAACTTTGATGGCAAATTTTCAATGATTGAATCGACATCATTGGTGCTTCAGCATTTTTGCAGTCAGAATAGATGCCAGGTTTGTCAGACTATATGTCAGCCTGGTGTATCTCACCTCTTGTGGTTTGTTTATTGTTGGTTGACTTAAAGAATATTGAATATATAAGTTGTCGCTCCTGAAAGGATGTGATAACCTTTTTCCTGACAGCCAAAAATTTGCTGCTTTTGAAAGCGTTGGATATGTTTTTGTTTGTTTGTTGTGTAATGTCCTTTCCCAAAGGAGGAATTGGAATTGAAACCTTGATTTAATGAAATTGTGCACAAACGTGAAACTCATAAAGGGGAATTCACATTTCAATGAAACCCCTTGGAGGTCAGTCATCTATCTTTCTTTCACGTGTATTTTGGTTCAAGTGGGTTACCTTTATTGTTATACCCCCCTGCCTGCTCCCTCTTTTGAGGGGTACTTGAACCGATTGTCCATGTTACGCGCTCGTCGGCAAGCTACATTGGAACGCTTGCAAAGCTTGCTGTCGCAACTGCTCTTTTTCTTTCGTGTCAAACTGGCAGCCCTCCAATTGCAGTATCATTTGGAGGAAACTATTGATGAGCTTGAGGAGCTTGGTTTTGAAGGCCAGCTTTTGCTCGTCATTTTGAATGCCACCAATGCCGAAGTGAGAAGATTTGTCGTTCGCTGCAATCAAGCTATGACTGCTACACAAAACCGCATTTTTGATATGTTTTTAAGACGAGTCCCATGACTCTCTGCCTATATAACCCAAAGCCGTGAACGCCGGCGCTGAGTCCAGTCACTCCTTTGCTTTGGCAGCAACAACTTGTGAGACCAACCCCAATGCGCAAAAAGGATTCAGCTGTCCGAATGAGTCTCTTAGTGAAGCCGTTCGATTTTTACTGCATGTCACGCTTCGGACTGGAGGTCTTGAAAGGCATGGCTTTATGCATAGCTTTTCGTGAGCCACGGTTTTTGAACAGAGCCCGCATTTAGCGCTGTGCCAAAAGAAAGTGCATGCCTGCAGTTCAG